TTTGAAAAATTATTTTTACATTAGATAGCCCGTTGATTGAGGAAGGCTATAGGCTATAATGTACCAACATATCTATTTATTTTTATTCATATATCATCCCGGGAAAATGTACGGTTCCCGTGGGATAGATTTGTTTTTGTCTAAGGACGAAGTGAGTCGCTAGTATTATTACATAATAAAAGCGATTATAAGTTTGTTTGTTTATCTCTTTTTCATCGTCATATTTTTCAACAAATACTCTAAGTAGGTACAAGGCTGGAACCATAATGGACATGGACTAGATTTATTAACTTACTAAAATTAAACTTTTTCAGGCAGCTTTTCTATCCCATTTTTTAAAATTTTATTGTCGTTTTGATATATTTGTTATGTCAACAAAAAGTAAGATAATGATTATATGTACATACTTTACATATAAAATAACATAATATTGATTTTAAAGACATGTTTACTTACATATAATAAAAAAAAAACAATTTCATAATGAAATCAGCCCAAACCCAAAGGTTTTATTGGGAAATAGGTTGATTCCCATACAGACTTTCATCCCCATTTTCACCCCCTTAAGGGATGATTTCCGAGATAAAAAGTATCCTATGTCCTTCCCAGGATCTCAAACTATCTTCTTACCAAATTTTATCTAAATCGGTTCAGTAGGTCCAAAGCTTACCCCTACAACGTCACAAACTTACAAACATTACCTCTTTATATTATTAGTATAGATTCTTCTATAAACGTCCTGATTCTATCATCAGATCAAATCAATGTTACCAAATCATCTAATATATAAATACATCGTGTCTCGGTGTTTGTGGCCGCACCCCTCCGAAACGGCTCGACCGATTTTAATAAAAATAAAATTGTATATTTGGTAGGTATGAGAATAGGTCGTGAAGTATTTTTCACCCTATATTTTTCACCCCCACCCCCCATTTTTTAATCGCGATTTTAGTATTTTTATTAGAAGCGAGGGTGAGTCGCTGTATATAACATAAAGCCAAAAAGTTTTTTTTGTAGATTGAATGCGATATGGATGTTTGTTACTCTTTCACGCCAGAACGGCTGAACGGATCTGGATGAAATTTGGCACAGAGATAGATTATAGTCTGGAATAACACATAGGCTACATTTTATCCCGGAAAAGTGTACGGTTCCCGTGGGATAGGTTCGTTTTTGTTTTAGTGTATAATATCATCCACTTTACAAGTCAATTAAAAAAATCGATTTCAAAAAAAATGACACTACTATTATAGTACGAAATTATAGATGTATGTGTGTATGTTTGTCAGTCCTTCACGCTGACACGGCTGGACGGATTTGGATGTACACAGATAGACTATGGGCTGGAGTAACACATGGCAACTATTAGGCATCTAGAGACGAACGAGCGAAGCGAAGCGACTCGAGCGTGACGCACTAGTAGTAAATAATAAGCCTTTTACGTTTACAATATTGGCAAATCATTAAAAGTTTAAATATGTTGGGACATTAACACACATCAACATCTAATTCTATGTGTTATGGATACCAGATAGTTGATACACTACACATATATAACTTTAAATACATACATATTATAAATATAAACACCCATGACTGAATACAAACATTCATGCTCATCACACAAAAAGTCCCAGTGGGATATGAACCCGCGACCGCTGGCAAAGCAAGTAGGCTCACAACAAACTGAGCCAAACGTGTCGTCGAAAGTTTATTAGCCAGCGGCTACGATCCCTTATAATATATTATGTACCCAATATGTAATTTGTTTAGACCACAGTACCACTTGTAAGTACATGACCTCTTTGTATGTTCGTTTGTACTTTGTATTTAGCATTGCTCGTGCTCGTGTAGTGTATAGTGGTTAATTCGTTCATGCATATATATATATACTGTAGGATGTTACGCAGCCTATAAAGAGTTGAGTTATGTTTTTGAACTAGCGAGTTACCCTCGTTTCTCTTGGGTGTGTCCTCAGGTATGTTTTAAATAGATAAAAATTGTACCCTAAGGGACTTCTCAGTAGGCCTTCTGCAGACTTTTTAAGACAATAATTTTCTAGTATATTGTTTTGATGTAACTATCTCTTCAGGTTTAGCCAGCGTTTGCCGTTAGTCGTTAGCTAAATTTCTAAGGATAATTTGGCAGAACCATTTATTGTGTTTTCCCGTGGGAATGAAAGATTTTCCTTTTATAAAAGATATCCTAAATGATATGTATTCATCCCTTTTTAATGTCCCACTGCTGGGGGTGGGCCTCCCTTCAATACGTGGGGGGATCAGGCCATAGTCCACCACGCTGGCCAAGTGCGGGTTGGCGGACTTCACATGGCTTTCGAAAACTTGCTAGGTTCTCTCAGACATGAATACACCCTAAATGTTGTTCCAAGTGCTAAGTTATCACTGCACAAAATTTAGTTAAAATCCGGTCATAAATTTTGCGGGAAACGCACGCAGACAAACAGACAAAAATTCATTAATTTTTTTTATTCATTCATTAAATTATTGTTTTGGGACCTATTCTGTACACAACGCGTAGCAGTCATTGTTATTTTAAAAAATATGTCATGCTACGAATAAATAATAAGTCTTATTTATTCGTAGATGTCTACGGATTTCACTTTGTTAATATTTTATTATATGTATTTATTTTTAGTATTTTTTTCAAGTTGATAATTTTTATAGACTTATATCGTCTCAAACTACCTGCTGTTAAAAGGAACGTTGGTCAAGCGTGCGTCGTACTCAGTAGTTATGGGGAGTCTTAACATGTGGGCCTCCCTTCAATATGAGGGGGATCAGGCCATAGTCCACCACGCTGGCCAAGTGCGGCTTGGAAAACTTGCTAGGTTCTCTCAGACATGCAGGTTTCCTCACGATGTTTTCCTTCACCGTAAGGAAAGTGGTAATCACGTTGGAAATGATTCGCATATGAAAATATCAGAGGTCCGAGATCCTCGATTTGAACCCGCTTTATACGGTTTTCCAAGTGAGCGCGTTACTACTGGGCTACCACTGCCTTCCATATAATAAATATTTTTTATAAATGAAGGAGACAGCAGTTATAGTTAAAGTTATATTCTCAATCTCATCCATTTGATTTAAAATGTCAAATATTCGCTTTCGCTTGGGGTCAGCACTAAGCAGAACTGCTTTTGAACTGGTCGTAGCTTCCTTTCATAGTTCATACACATACAAATATTTTAATTTAATTAAAAATTGTAATTCGAATGGAATAAAATTAGTAAAAAATTCATTTAAAATGACAAATATTGGCGTAAATCTAATTAAATCTACTAGTTCTGAGTGCCTCAGATTGATTGGCTTAGAAATCGTCGGGGGAGCCCTGTGGCAGTCTGTCTTACAGTTGAGGGGATAACAAAGAAATTTCATTGCAATGTGATGTGATCAGGATGTTGTCGAGTAAAGTGCGGCTGATACAGACATACTTTATTAGTGTATACAGACAGACAGATAATACAAATAACCATAAACATAAAAAAAACAATGTTTTTACCGTTTTAATTTTATTAAACGTACTGCGTACATTTATACCCTAAGGCTATTATGATTAAACAATATGAAAATGCCATGCAAAAACAATAAAACATTCAGTCGAATGTTTTATTGTTTTTTTTCATTATTAACGGTTTAAATGTAATAATATTGAAAAGTTTGTCTTTTCTAAATTAAATATGAAATTCTCGGGAATTATTTTTATTATGTACGTTACGTTTTGATGCTTAGGAAATAGATTTCTCAGGGATGGGAAATTTTCCCGCAGTAAAAAGTATCCTATATGTTGACCCTTATAACCAGCTATCATCATACCAAATTTCATCAAAGTCTGCCCAGTGGTTTTCTCGTGATGTGTTCCCAGACAGACCGATAAAAATATATATCTTAAAACTATAGGTTCGGCCTTTGTGTCGATAATAATGATTATTGTAATAAGATTTTCCGAAAAATATTTAATGTACAGATTAGACTCAGAATTTTATGTATAGATAAGTAGACTGGCGCTGCCTTTCCACAATAAAGTATGTAGTCTCCGAGGTCATATAAAAATCCTATAGAAACAGGCACTTTCATTTTTCTTCAAGTCTCTAAGCTTTTGAGCAATTTTTCTATTTTCCCCCCTTAAAACCTTAGGTACTCTATTTATTAGACCCAAAACGGTACAGCCGTTCTTGAGTGAAGCTTACCATATTGTAACTTAAAATTTGATCCGTTCATTAGTATTATTAACATAATAATACTAGGAAGTAAAGAAGAATTAATGAACATTGTTTATCTAGTAGATATTTTATCTTCGCGCGAACCAAAAGTAAATATATAAAAGACGACTGCAAAGTCATACTCTATTGCCTTCCTTACCATGTTTATTTGCCTTTATTTTCATTTAAAATAATTTGAGGACATATTTCATTATGTAAAATGTAAAATACTTACAGTTCTGTTCATTGTATCGCGTTAAATTTTGGTAGGGAGGGAAATCGATATTTTTGTCTGACGTATTTCTTTAACTCGTTTGAAATTGCCGCGTGTGACGTAAAACTAACCTCTGACGTCACTCGGCTCCACCACATATTGCTGTCTCTTTCTCGCCAATACAACACGACAGCGTATGAATGAAACAGCGCGATTCACGTAAAGCTTGTGAATTGAGTTCTTTTTTCATGGCGGGCGACGTTCAACTTGAACCTTACGATTTGATAAGAAATCAGCGATAACATAATCTCGCGCTATCATATCTACGTAATGCTAGTCTCTAAATTGTGAAGATAATGAACACATCGCAATTTTACGCCTTTTAATTGTTCATTACATGTATTCGAGTAGTTTTTGTTAATGAAATGTAGCCGGGTTAAGTTGCACCTCCTCCCCGAATGACGTCAGCCGCAGCGCCGCGACGGCTAAAAAACGAACTACAAGCAGTAACTAGAAATCCGTCGGAGTGTGCGGGTCCGCGGCCGCCTTACCATGGCCACCATAAAGCCGATGAAGAAACATTTCCCTATAGACCAGCTCGTGTGCGTCGGGAACTATGAGCTGGAAAAAACCATCGGCACGGGCAACTTTGCCGTCGTCAAACTTGCCACTCACACTATAACTAAGAGTAAGGTTGGTATCGTGTGTTTCTGTGATTTCTGTGCCTAATCAAATGGATCTGCGTCTTGTGCATTACCAGTTGACACCGGATCGTTAACAGTGTTTAAAGTGCTTGTGGTGTGTTTTTTTCCACTCTGTTTCTGTTTTGGAGTCAGGTTAGATAGCGTTGAGAACTCGTTCCTCTGTTGAACTGATGGATGGAACGTGTTTTGTAAAAAAAATACGCAACCCGACCAGATACGTGGTGCATTGTTTACTATATACGAGTACACAACGTATGCACTTCTCTATTTGGTCGCGTTATAGTCGAACTTCAAAATTTTCTTTGGAAATTGCAAACTTTATCAAATACTTTTTTTTGTTGTTTTCGTTAAATTAAAACGTTTTCGTGGGGAAGGGAACTCTGGGATGACCTTCAGAGTGTTTTTGCGACAATTATTTTCAATTGCTAAGTTCATTGGTTGTCCTCAAGTCAATTATGGTGTCGTCTTGTTATTACTGCCGTCTGACGATACACAATATGTAATTTAAATACATTAAAACTCATGGGAATATGAATAGGTATGTATAGTTCTTATAAGAATCTTATTGTTTTCTTGTTTTCTCTAACTCTCACAGAGAAAGTTTTGTACGAGTTCTAAATAAGTCAACTAAATATCATTTGTAGAATTTCATTGTTTTGATTAGCCAAAAAATGTTAATGTATTCATGAAACCGTCATTTAATTGTCAAGAATTAATTGGTATACTTATTTAACATTATAACCTACAAAAACAAAAACAAATTTTAATAGTTTATCTAAATAACATAACTTTGAAAGTGCATGATAAATAACATTGAATTGTTGATAATTAAATAGTATAATGGAAAAAAAATAATTTATATTGTTGTTTTACATTTTAACAAATGATTTGTGGTCATTATGCAAATTTAGAAGATATTTAAATATAAAATACTAGCAGGACCCGCGGTTTCGCGCGCGTTCAAACTACTAAAAAAAAACCAACTCTTTAACACACCGACTGCAGGGTCCAATTATGTTTTCAAATCATCCAGGAGCCCATTGAAATATGCACACAAAATTTCATCCAAATCGGTCCAACCCTTTAGGAATAAAGTGATAAACACACATACAGAAGAATTATATATATTAAAAAGATATTTACATATACATATTACACAAAATTAAAACATTGTCTGTTAGACATGAACAATGAAACAAAAAAGTACTTTATGAATTGAATCCTTATATTAAAAATAATAATTTAAATAATAAACTATTCAAATTACGTTTACATGACATGTTTAAACAATTTAAAATATATATTAAATATAAAGAAACTATTGCTGTGTAGATAGAGTAACAAAAAGAACCTTAATTAATAACTTGATAAATGTTATTTATACATTTTTATAGTAATTCTATTTTAAATCCTATTATTAATATTATAAATGCGAAAGTTTGGATGGACGTTTGTTGCACAATCATTCCAGAATGGCTGGACACATCTAGATGAAATTTGGCACAGAGATAGATTATAGTCTGGAACAGCGCATAGGGTACTTTTTATCCCAGGAAAATGTATGGTTCCTGTGGGATAGATTTGTTTTTGTTTTTCACTAGGGGTTAGGGAGTTGCTAGTAGTATTATAAAATTACTATAAATAATGTTGACAGTCTACACAGACAAATCCTGCATTAATGTTAATTTAGCTGGTAATATGAGTTTTACAAATATTCAACAACGAAATAATTAATGTAGAGAGGAAAAGACTACTTAGTTTTACCTGTAAATGAATTTTTTTAATTTAATTTATGTTAGATTTTTATGGTATTTGCATGGAAGATGAGCTTTTCCATTGGATTTACTTGAACTGGTAGTTTCAGAGACTAGCTCAGAGGCTGGTAGGACAAAGAAAAATAAACAAAATGTTTCGCTTTAAATATATAAGTATAAATATAAATTAGCTTGATTACATAATAGCGTATATTGCAAAAAGTCACCTAAGGATGCAAGAAGGTGCAGTTAGGTTCTAAGTAAAGCAAGTGTTAATATAACATATAAAGTAGAAATGGGTATCTGAAACCGTATAGACAACTTTTAAGCCCAGTCCGCTAGTGGGCCTTCCATAATTATTATTAAGTTAATTTTTTTTTTCATTTTTAAAATTCGAAAAAAAATAGTAATCCATAATTACTAGGCCAACTACCAGACCTAGCTAAAATGTTGCATGATGGATAAAAGTTTTCTAAATAATAGAAGGATACACAAAGTTTTACAAACACGATTGAAAACTTAAAATTCAAAAATCTCGATTAGAAACATTTTATTTTTTTTTTGTAAAGGTATTCCAAAAACAAAAAAATTGAAAAAAGAAAGTTGAATTTCGACCATCATTAAGAAAGTTATGAGAAAAAAGCAAAAATAAAACGTTTTTGAACCAGTGATCAAAAAATCTCAAAATTTGCCAAGAAGCCTCTTTTGAGGGGTGCTAAAAGTACCAAAATAATAAATAAATCAAAAAGATTTTTTTTTTAAACCATCCGATTTGGCGAGGAATGCCTGTTGAGAATGTTAATAGTATTCTTAAATCATTAACTGTAAAAGAAACTTAATTGAAATTGTTTTTTTTGTAAAGTTAAACATTTACAAATTAAAATGTAAAAAACTGTGTATAAATAAAATATATATATTAACTAAAACTAAAAGAAACATAGTGTGCAATATATAAACAAAAAGACAATAAGCATATTTGTGGTTTCGTTAGAACATTGTTTTTGTTTTAATTTTTTATTGCTAGGGTTTTACTAACTTACAAAAAGAAAAGTACCTATTATGTTTATATTTCCAAATCTTTCATTAAGTAAAAGATTAATCAAAATGAGTCCAGTTTTTAAAAGGATAACTTAAGTTTTATTCACATATTCCATACTTATTTACTTTTTATATTATAAATGTGAAAATTTGTTTGTTTGTTTGTCCTGCTTTCACGTCGAAACAAAGAGACGTATTGGCGTGATTTTTTGTCTGAATATAGTTGGAGGGATGGAGAGTGACATAAGCTAGTTTTTACTGCGGAAGATTATCTCATTCCCACAATACAACACAAAAAATATTTAAGATTAGAATTACTAGAAATTGGTATTCACGTTCTTCAATACAAATAAATAAATACGCGTTTTAGGATTTGCCGAAATTCATCCCGTAAATGGGTAAAATAGGGGATGAAAGTTTGTATGAAACCTACATTTTAGAGTTTTATTGTCGTTTTAGCGCGAGATAAACCGCTGGTTTTGCTAGTATACCTATATACCTTTAAAAATAAAGTTATTAATTTGTTTGATGGAGGTAACCTCTTCAATCCCAATCAAGTTACAGTGTTTGACGCTGTTTTTTTTTTATTTTCGGTAAATATGAAAAGATAACATCAAACAAAATCTATCCACATTCAATCCATAGTCATTTAAAACGGCATTAAAAAATCATTAATGTGAGTATTTATATGTACAGATAATAAAAATGACATAAAGTGCATTCATAGTGGAAATATACAAATAAATTTTCCTTTATTAAATTTCAATCTGTTTGTCATTTCAAAACGACAATTTTGATGAAACTCAGTGTGTTGCATAATATTATTACTTCGATGAACATCTATACTAATATTATAAATAGGTAAAGTTTGTGTGATTGTGAGTTTGTGACGTTGTAAGAGGTAATCTCTGGATCTACTGAATGGATTTAGATGAAATTTGGTAAGAAGATAGTTTGAGCCCTGGGAAGGACACAGGATACTTTTTATCCCGGAAATCATCACCTCAGGGGTAAAAATGGGGATAAAAGTTTGTATTGGGAAGCACCCTAGGGAATAACCCGAGCGAAGCGAGGGTGAGTCGCTAGTTTATCATTTAAAATCATTTAAACATTTAGGTTTTATATAACAATTTCATTATGTGTGAGATGAGAAGGATAAAAAGTAGTCTCATGTCACTTTTACAGCCCCTAAACATAGATAAATTGATTTCTCGCTTCGCTCGGATTCGTCCCTAGGTACGTTTTAATTTCTTTGAGCGGGAGCCTTCTTTTTCTAACATAAAAGTAGACTAAGTTACTCCTTATAACACCAGCTATCTGCCCGTGAAAGTCCTGTCAAAATCGGTCCAGCCGTTTCGGAGATTAGCCGGAACAAACTGACGGACAGACAAAAAATTAAAAATTGTGTTTTTCTTATGAGTATGTACCCTATATAATTGCATATATTATATGCATTTGGAAAAAAGCTGTTATTTTGACATTACAAACAGACACTTCAATTTTATTGTTATGTATAGATAGATGTAAAAATATAATATTAGATTTAAGCAAAAAATCGTGTCTATCTATCATATTATGTTAAAATGTTCCAAGCACAAAATTAGATATGAAACAACATGTTGGTTTTTCCATATTTCTTTTTTATCTACACACTAGTTAAATATGAGGGGCTATTTAACCAACTTAAAAAATAGGATATTTTAATAAGATTATTATTTCGTGATTTACGGTTTTAGCCTATTTTGGACTGTTTTTATTTTTTTTAATTATGTTTAGGGATTATTCCTATACATTATACGTACATTTAAAAAAACCTTTATTCATCAAAAGAAAAATAATATTTCTAAAGTTATTTTGAAGTTGGGAAGTTGGCGTAGCTTTTAATCTAGAAAGTAATTATTTGAAATCACATACAATATATTTTTATTTACATACTAGTATTGCCCGCGTCTCCGCCCGCGTTCAGATGACCAAAAACCAAATTCTTAGGTTTTACATATTAGTATACTCTTACATTGCAGTTTTTGTATTTTTTCTCAGAAATGAGATATTTTCTCGCGGTAAAAAGTATCCTATATGTTGACCCGGATAACCAGCTATCATCATACCAAATTACATGAAAAGTTAAGTTTAAAGTTAAGTTAAGCCCGCAGCTTTACCCGCACGAAATGCAAATTAACACTTTCACCTGTAAAGT